GCAAAGGTAGGGTGAAAGATCCCAGTCAGTTTTCAGTAAACTATGGATTGTTATACGGAATTGGTGGTAATAGAAGGTCTACGGGTGGGGCAGAAAGCAGGACAGTAGGATGACGGAACGCAGGAAAGCCCAAAAGACAGTCGATGGCAAAAAATGATACCTTCGAGTAAAATGATGAATGTAAGCAGGTACAGTGTCCAGCAGGATACTCTACGGTGTCCTAAATCGAAAGGGTGCCTTTCTATAAAACAACTGGGCCTATCCCCTGGCAGTCATTTTTGTTATCCCCCAACTCCGACTCATTTGATCCCCACTTTTTGTTTCTTCGCTCTTGGATACAATTGCTAGTCATCCCTATTTAATAAATGCATACGCCAGCACAATAATTGGGGTCCTTCATCCTACCGTCGCCGTCCGGTTAACTCGGTGAGGTTTTCTGCGAGTTTCCACGGACAAACCCGAAAAAATGCAGACAGTAGTTTTGACGGCCTCAAGCAAATGCCTCAGAATCAAACCAAGAGTTCTCCAAGGTCCTTGCGCAGAATCAGCAGGCGTTGCCAACTGTCGTGAACGATGACCCGGCAATCTTCGAAGGCATCCGAATACAGAAGGGCAAGACAAAGCGTCGGGAACCCACAGCAGAAACGCTGAGGAAAAAAGTCGTCAACAACTGACGCCTCCCCACTGGCAACACAAATTCGGACTTCGCGTATGCTTCGCGACATCGCCGCTGCCGCCACAACCGACAGCAATAAACAACGTACGCGCCTGCCTTTGTGCTTGCTTTTATTATTATTATTATTATTATTATTATTATTATTACTACTACTACTACTACTACTGCGTGCGTTGGAAAACGCTCCGATATGCACACCCTACTCCAAATGGGTGCCGAAGGTGGTGGTTGGTTGAAAAACAGTCAGTGACGCTGTTGTAGGGAAACATAAACGGCTAGCGGATAACTTCCATTCGTTTTTGAGAGGGTGGGATTCTGGTAGATCGTGATGCTAAGGATGTGGCGCTTGGGAACAGCCTGCATGGACCCAGATTTCGCAGTTGCCACATCGAACAATGCTGTCGAATTGCGGTGTTCGACAAATCCGTGTTTCCCAAGTGAAAATTCAGGAAAGACAGAATTATTAAAAAAAGCACTATCGGAAGAAGCGCCTCCACCTCAGAAACCAGAAAGTACTCGTTTTTTGTTATCAATCGACGCGAAACGTGTCTGCGCTTGGGCTTTGTCCGTCTGCAGCCAATCAGCGAGGAGTGCAACGCCGATTGGCGTCGAGCTCTCGCCTCGCCATTGTAAAGTCACGCGTGGCCTACGTAGCCACTTAACGGGGGAAGTCACGTAGATCGAAGGCAACCTGGGTGAGCGGCTGCACTGGTGACCACGGAAACGGACTGCCACGGTGCGTCTACCGGGCCCCAAATAGTAACAGCCTAAACCTTCGAGGTAAATAAATCGGTCTGTTGTGTGCGCGGATGGGGCGAGTTCTGGAGTCTGAGGTTATGTAGGTAAGGCAATTGAGTCTGTCCAAATATATGGGTTTGGTGTGTGAATATGGGCAAGCAGATGCCCAACCAGAGCACTCGTGGCCTGAAAAGTTTGCTTGGTACCCATTTAGTATGGCTCTCAAGGTGCTGTTGGTGTGAACTTTGCTGTTGGCTGTGGCGGCGACAGCGGCGACGGCGGGGATGATGCCACAACACATGCGAGGGTGTCCCACACGGTCAGTGCAAGTTCCGAACTTGTGTTGGCATTTGTGAGGACATGTAGGAGGGCGTCGGCTGTTGACAACTTTGTTCTCCAGTGTTTCCGCTCTGCGTTCCTGACCTATTTTCTTGTCCTCCTGCATCCAAATGCCTTCGAAGATTGCTGTACCATCGTTTGCGGCAGCTGGTCACGCCTCCTGATCCCGCGGTCGGACCTCCAAGAACTTCTGGTTTGATTCTAAGACATTTACGTGAGGCTATCAAAGCGACTGCCTGTATTTTTTCGGGTTTGTCTGCGGAAACTCGCAATAACTTCACCGAAAAAAACAAGACTTCTCAGAATACTGAGACCTGACGGGGATTGAGTATGTTTCAGAATTTCGTAGACGGTGGGCATGTCGGTTGTTGAGAGGTTGTGTGTGGTCAGAATGCGCTCTTGTTCCTTCACACTCAGCGTCCTGCAATGACAACGTTGATGAAAGTGTTTGAGCCTGTTGAAGTTCAACGACGTACTACAGGGGGTTTCTTAGATCAAAGGTCAGCGAGACGACCAGTACCAAGGCCAGGAAATTCCAGTCGATTCCGAAGGCCGCGACAGCAATTGTTTTACGAAGCCGAGAGCCAGTCGATGATATTATCAGCCTAGACACGAGGAGCGGGCGCTTACTTGGCCCCATATCTGAATGCCCCAAACGTTGCAAGCCAAAATATCGATCGACGCCACAGCGTTGGCAAGCCGAATACTGAGTCACATGGGGAACAAGCAGTTGACTGGCACAGGAAGTTCTGTCGTCGTCGCCACAGCGAGCAGACCGCCAGAAGCTCCCCCGCTTACTTTTTGGGCTACCGCATCGCAATGTATGGACTAATCTTTACTTCCTAGTACTTTTCTTCTACTTCGCGTTTTGGCCCTGCGAGGTTTCTGGTAGAAGTGTAGCGTCTAAGTAATGAGAGTAATCTGAGCGTCGCAATAAGCATGGCTCAGTGTCTTTTTAGGGGAGAAAGACAAAGAAACCAGTCGGAGCTGGGTATTCCGTACAGAAGCCTGGTAGCGATCAGAGCCCGCGACCAGCGCCCGGACCGCTCGCACGTCTGTGGGCGTGAATGCACGGGTCATGTGACTGTCAGTCAGCGAAAGCGTGCTTAATTGATTGGGTGATTCAGAATTTGTTAGCGCTTGTGATTGGCTGTCCTAGAAGACGCATGCGCACACCTTCCTGCCGTTCGGACACCGTGAACACAATTCCTGGATCGGCGTGGGTACCAGATCCGGAAGGTTTATATGTGCTTCAGAGACCTTGGAAGTTCTCGCTCAAGGTGAACGGTCAGTCAGCGTAGGTGTGATAGACTGGCATTCGAGATTCTCGCTCGAACCCAGCTTTAGAAACAACCGCAGATGCGGACAATGGACACACACAGAGGGTGCCCTATTTATAGCTTGTTGTCACATCACCACATACTTACCATAATTAGCATCTCTCGCATTCATCACCTACGGTCGTGCTGTTAATGGCCGCGATTGTGTCACCTGCGTTGATTCATAGTGTGATAATGATGTGCCCAGTTGGTTCACGGCGTCCACCTACGCGCTCGTCCGTGCTGAATAACTGCACAGTAAAAGTTCCAGCATCAAGCATGGAGGGCTAGGTCATCGCGCTTTCAGTTCACGGTCCACGTGGTTGTCACCCGATGCGAAACTTGCCGCCTCGTTGAACTTGCAGGTGTGAACGGGGCCCGGCCGGCCAGCAACTGCATTATATAAATGCGGCGTCCATTATGCGTCCAACAGCCCCACTTCGGGCTGTCCCTGGTGGGGGGAGGGGGGGGGGAGGCGGACAAATGAAATTTCGGTCCCAGCGATCGCATCTGCTTCTCCACGGCTTCCTTGCGTCGACTAGCAAAGCTGTTGCCGACTAGACTGAGAATGTCGCGGGTTGTTGGACGCCTCTTTGTTGTTTTTGATTTGGAAAACACGCTATGGCATTCTCTGCCATACATCAAGGGTGCTTCTAAAGTAACCGAACGCATTACTGCTGAGTTAGGTGTTGGAGTTGCACACCCCCCTCCAAAGCCACCATGCGCAGAAGAGTCATAAAAATTAAAGATCGTCCAAATCCAGAGGAGCAGTCTGGAGTAGTGTATTGCATCCAGTGCCAAAACTGCCCTTGTAACTACACAGGCCGGATTGGAGGCATGCCCGAATCGCGCATACACGAACGCAAGCTGGCTGTGCGACAAGGCGACGAATTTTCACAAGTGGCTGCCCACACCTACCAAATGAGTCATGAGTTTAACTACGCAGTCACCAAGGTGATCGCCCACGACGGAAAAAAAAGTAGGCCGAGAATTGATTGAAGCCTGGGGCTCGGATGAGAAGTCAGTCAATGGATTTATCGACCTAGCGATGGGGCACAGAGTCCTGCGCGGTCATCTCCAGTCTTGCGCCATCGTAAGACGATTGGCTAGCGCGTCCCATAATCGCCGCTTGTTTTGTTGTTGCTACTATCTCTGACGCTGGACTCCTGCGTGAGTTTGAAAGGTCTGAAGAATAAATAGGCTGTCCCGGTGCTCGACCCCTTTTCTTCTTCACTTCTGCCTACACCTGGAACTCAAACCTTCGTCTTAATTTATAAGCATCTTTGTCCTCCTATTCCCCCTAGCTTCCGGTGGTAGGACGCATGGTCGCACGGGCCAATCAGACTGTTTGATCGCCTCATACGCGTACCGTGAGCGTACTGGTTCCTTAAATGAAACCAACAGGGCTTCGCTAAAACCCTTGCCAGCCCCGTTTCATACCTGATACAGCAGTGCCGCATCTTCAGCGCCATACCCCCCATCGAAAGCAGGCAGTACACACCTGAGTGGTCGTACCCACAAGATTGCCAACAAGAACTTTGGTATGAAAAAAATTATTGTAGTCTGGCGGTCGGTCCCACGGCTAAAGGAACCCCCAGGCAACTTGTCAGACCCGACATTTTGGACGGCGCGATAGAGGACGTGCACAGTTTGAAAGAATTGATTCCTACTCAACTAATATGCAAATGGGTCCGTTGCGAACCAGACGGAGCGCAATAGCTAAGCGCGCGGAATAGTCTCCCCCTCCCCCCCCCCACGTGTGTCACAGACTGACTGGTCTCGCTTCTCCCAGGTGGGAAAGGAACGGTTACGAGAGACTGACGTAAATGGTAATGTTCTCACGAACTAACGAGTTATATCTCACAAGCCCTTAACATTAAAGGCAGCAAGTAAAAAACGACCGGTGAATAATACAGAAATTCTGATTGTTAAGTAACCTGACAAGGATGGGAGAGTCCATGCATCGAGGCGGGCACGAAATGGCGATAAAAGGGAATCGAGACGTCACAAAGTATGGTACCAGAGCCAGTGGTCAGAGGAACGTCTTTGAGTAGGAGACCACTAACAGGCTCGTCACCAGGACAACCGACTCGCTGTTGCTCAGCCGCCATGGCACAAAGATCGATCCCGTGTGTGAGTTGGAGGGAAGACAGTGAGGGTCTGGACAGCATATCAGCCACCTCATTCTTCGTGCCATCGATGTGGCGGATGTCGGTGGTGAATTGGGAGATGTAGTCCAGGTGGGCGATTTCCCTCAGATTGTACTTGTCGGAGTGGGAATGAAGTGCAAAAGTCAACGGTTTGTGGTCAGTAAAAACAGTGAAGTCCCGACCTTCAAGGTAATGCCGGATATGCTTCACAGCCAGGTAAATGGCAAGTAGTTCACGGCCAAAGGTACCGTAGCGTGTCTCATCTGGTAAGAGCATTTTGGAGAAAAAGGCAAGTGGTCGAGTCGGACCAGCAAGGTGTTGTTGAAGGACTGTACCTACAGATACGGCCAAAGCATCTACCATCAGGGACAGCTGAGCTTCGGGAGCGGGATGCGTGAGTAAGGTGGCTTTGGCAAGGAAATTCTTGATTCTCTCAAAAGCAGTCAGTGCTTCACCAGTCAGCTTGAGGTGGCCTGTGGGACCAGAAAGCATGTTGGTGAGCGGCAGCAAGTAAAAACTGACCGGTGAATAATATAGAAATTCTGAACGTTAAGTAACCTGACAACAGAGCGCGACAGCTAAGCAGGCCAGCAGAGCGGGTTGTTCAGGTGTGTTGCTTTTCGTCACCTTCAAACAAGCAATCCGGGCAAAGAAAACGAGACTAAATTGTCAAAGGTAAATTAGTCCGGTACCTCACCACAAGACCACCACAGTGTGACATTCAGTCTAAAGTGAATGTGAGTTACCCTTTGCAAGTCGTAGAGTGTTAGCACGCCTTGATGGTTTGGAAGCGGGTTTGGTCCTCTATGGTAGAGATATTAAGCCCTGAACCCGATCTGGTCAACCGCTCTCTCTCTCTCCCACATACCAGCTGCCCGTTCGAGTCGGCCCCTAGTGTGGGCAGCGGCCGCCACCCAACGCGTATTACATATAGAACTTGATCACACAGAAGTGAGAGCCGCGGTAGGGGCCGCGTTAATTAGAAGTCATTGTAGTTGGACCCCAGTCGTCTCCAAAGGAGGATCAGGTTATCCCTTTAGTTAGGATTCCTCTCAGTCACTACCCGTAGAGCCTGGAGATGGCTTCAAGCACTATACGCGAGATGAATCAGGAGCTGTTCCCCCCTCTCTCTCTCCCCTTACACTCCTGTAGTGATGCAAAGCGTAATGTTTTCTGAGTTAAAAACGCCTGTACGCTGAAGCACGATATCTAGCAACATCGCCAGCCATGCAGCCGTCTCGTGGCTAACCTGTTTCTATTGACTTTCATATTGACCCAACTGTGAAAAACTCGGCGCTTCGGTTGGATTCGAACCCACTCAGTAAGGCGAAGGCTTTAGTACAGTCAATGCTCTAACCACTTGAGTTACGAGGCTCCGCCGGACGACGCAATGAATTGTTCAAAATCTGCCAAAACATCTATGAATTACGTAAGCCTGGTAGTCATCTGGTGGATTCTAGGTGAATTATTTCGGAAATCATATCTGTGCAGTTAGCTTACTGTATCAGATTTGGTGGATTCCAGACGTTGCATTAGGTTGGGCGGGTAACCTGACCCAAATGTGATTGAACTCGCGTCGTCCGGTGTGGCCTCGTATCTGAAGTGGTTAGAGCGTAGGCTGTACTAAAGCCTTCCCCTTACTGCGTGGGTTCGAATGTCACCGAGACGCCGAGTTTTTCACAGTTGGGTCAATATGAATTATTCAAAATCTGCCAAAACAGCTACTCATTTTCTCACGTCGGGTCGCCGATTCAGAATACAAAAGGACTAGTCCTCTGACGAATAGGAGTAATCCCATCAGGCTACTTACGACTGACAAATCAGAAAGAACAAGTTAGCCACAGGATGGCGGCGTGATCGCAAATGCTAGTCAAAGTCGTGTTTCGGTTTACAGACGTTTTCAGTACATTAGAAGAGAATGCCTTGTCACGAATGGAAGAGAATATGCGCATCCCGGGTTCTTGTTGAAAAGAAGACGAAGGCACGATCAGTGGGACGGCGCGAGTCGGCAACAAGACGGGGCGAGAACTGTTGGAGGTGTGGGTGTCGGACACCGACTCTGTCAATAGACACATTGATTTGCCTGCGTCGTATCACGCCCTCCGCCCACACAGCCAGGTGGCGCAGCTCACATAACCGCGAAGTACAAACGGCGTCACCACGCCGGGGGGACCATTGTGGGCCAGGCAGCACAAACCACGGAAGTAGCCCCCTCCCCTCACAGCAAAACGATATAAATTTCACACGTTGCTGCACTCCAGCAGTCTTTGATGATGAACTCCAGTTCGAGTTCGAAAGCTAAGGCCAATAAATCTACCGTCCCAGTGATCGTGCCTTCGTCTTCTCTTGTATCGCTGCACACCAAAGGCCTTCTCCAGTCTTTTGACGGACTGACACTGAGAGTCTACTGGGCAACTGATTTGGCGTGATTGGCCCCGTCCATGCGTGCAACAAATTTGGTGGCTTACAGCATCACGAGCCTCGGCTTCACCGAAACGCAGTTTGTGCACATACTCGCATAAGTCGTTTGGCTCGTTACAAATGCATTGATGCGTGATGTTTTCCTCGAGGCTGACATACGCATGCACGTGACAGATCGAATCCGAGTACAGTCAAGGTGTGTTTAAGGCGCAACTGGTCACTCCACAGTGTGCCGTGGCTCAGATACGCTTGACCGGAAGGGTGTCAGGCTTGCTCACGAGGCGCATCTATCCGGCTGCGCGGACTCCGCACGAATCCATAATTACTGCCGCATATGCGTGTGGTAGCACGTCTTAGACGTAGGCTACCGCACCAAATCTAATCATCTGTTACCTGAGAGACTTGGGGAGTCGGTTCGTGCATGAGGTAACTGAGATCGACGCCGGGGCCTCCACTCACGACGTATCCTCAGTCGTGGCCAGGAGTATAGACAATTAACGGAATAATCCTAACCTTCTCAGAATATGGGATCAGACTGCAATGGCTCTTGCTTACTACCTCCCATTCTGATTATGGCCCCGAAGATGGATTTGAGAGCAAATCCGAAAAGCCAGGCTGGTAAAGCTCTTGTGTCAGCTACCAGGTCCCGTTTCCCCGAATCATGGTCTTTCTTGGCACTCCCATTAGTGCGAGGTCTTAGCGGCACTTGCAGTGATCCGCCGCTGCCGTGTGTGGCGCGCGTAGACGAGTTGTCTAGCCAATCACAGCGCCAACTCCTACCTTCACCTCTCCTGACATCATCTTGAAACCAAGGCCAGGTTGGTGAGGGAAGATAGAGAACAGTGGATGTGGTACAAGTCTGCCTCATTATAATCAGGTGCACGCGAAAGTCACCCACTTCGTCGGGCACACGGCTAGGTTGAACTGTCAGTCAGGGTCCCTAGCATTGGTGCTTCAGCCGCACTTTGGTTGATTACCTGGTTGCGAACGGGACCTAAGTAGGCGTTGTATGCGAGATTACGTACAAGGGCATGTTGGCATGGTGCCTGCATTCCTAGTGATGTCTGTTCCTTGGTCGTTGTGACGTTCGCGTTGTGATGGGCAGGAAAATATTCTATTAGCGTGAAGTGGGCTAAAACGTGACGTTAGGGTTATGACATTTGGGGCACCAAATATCGAGGCAGCTTTTTTTTACTAGAACTACGACGTGCCAAAAAGGTTTACTGGTGATGCTTGCTTTAAAAAGGCCCTGACCAAAAATGCTATACTATGAGGCGACCACGTCGATGAGGGGCTGTCGTTCATAACGGATCTGCTAACACGAGTCTTTTTATGGCGAATGTCATGGTTCCCC